GAGTCGTTAATCAAACACCTTCAATTAATTGCAATACCATTACTAATGTATTCTAAACTTCGTATATCGACACGGGGACATGAAAGTTTACATCCAACATCAACTATACGCATTATGCCAACTAGTTATCATAAGTTCTCCCTATTCAACTAGTTTGTGGTTAGGAACCAAATATTTCTCATCTAAGGACATTTGGATGTGCAGTTTATGTACCCATTTCTCCACCTCACTGCACAAAAATGGGTCCTCCAAGAAGAATGAGGATTTATGTTAGATATGAATCTCCATCTATAGTAAAATAGTTAGAACCATCAACTAGAGATTTATTTACAACTAGATTTGAAGATTGTCATTTTGATGAATACATTTTTCCAATATTACAGGGAGAAATAAAGAAACCGGAGAATAAAATTTCTTGGAATGAACTATCACTTTCAGTTTTAGATCTTCGTTCAAGTCAATGTGAACTTGAAGTGAAAAAAATAATTCATTTGCAAAATGTAGAAAACCAATTGCTAGATGCATTTATTGACCCTAAGAGAGTAACAAAGTCTCATATACCAATTGCAAATGCTCAAGTTAGAATTGATATCTCAGAAGGACAAAATACAACTACAAATAAATCTAAGGCACACCTAAAGCGTGGAAGACTAACCGGTTCCAAAGATAAAAATCCTCAAAAACGAAAGGGAGTAAATATAAAAGAGGCCAATAACATAACAAAAGAAACTTAGGTACCTGAAAATTATGAAAATGAAGAGATCTCAATAAATTATGTTATTACAGGAATAAGATGGAACCGACATAAGATAGACCTCGATGATAATTTTTTGTATCATGTTGCATACGAGATTATGGAAGAAAACGAGGATCTTGAACTTTCATCTATAGAGGAATGTAGAAGTAGAAAATATTGGCGAAAATGAAAAGATGCAATCAACAAAGAGGTTAATTCTTTTACACAATGAAAAGTTTTTGGAACTATAGTCCATACACCTAACGGAATAAGAACAGTGGCACACAAATGGGTATTTGTGTGCAAAAGAAATGAGAAAAATGAAGTTGTGAGATGTAAAGCAAGACTTTTTGCACAAGGTTTTACCCAAAGGACGGGAATTGATTATGTAGAACCACTCTCCTATGGTTGATGCAATTACATTTTGTTATCTAATAAGTCTGGGAATACATGAAAAACTGGAGATGCGTCTAATGGATGTATCTATTGCATATTTATATGGTTCACTTGAGATTGATATTTATATGAAAATCCCAAAAGGGTTTAAGGTTCCAGAAGCACAAACTCTTAATTCTCAAGAATTATATTCGGTCAAACTAAATAAATCTTTGTATGGATTGAAATAATTTTGTCGTATGTGGTAAAATTGTTTAAGTACATTTTTGTTGAAAGAGGACTATAAAAATGATCCATTAAGCCCATTTGTATTCATAAAAAGACATGAATCAGAATTTGTGATGATTGTTGTTTACGTAGATGATTGAAAGAAAATTTTTAAAGGAAAGATCTTGGTAAAACAAAATTTTGTTTGTGTATTCGAATTGAGCACACAAAAAATGGACTTTTTGTACATCAATCCAGTTATCTAGAAAATGTGCTTAAAAGGTTTTATATGGGTAACTCCCATCCATTGAGTAATTTGATGGTAGTAAGGCACTTAGATGCCAAAAAGGACCAATTTTGGCCTTGTGAAAAACATAAAAGACTTCTTGGTCTTGAAGAACCATAGCTTAGTGTTATTGGTGCACTAATGTATTGCTAATAATATGAGACCTGATATATCTTTTGCTATACACTTATTAGAAGGATATAGTTCTTACCCAACAAGAAGATACTAGAATGGAGTCAAATACATTCTTCGATATCTTCAAGGTATAATGGATACGGGCTTATACTATTCAAATTCATCAAATGTGGAGTTAATTGGTTTTGCAGATGCTGGATATTTTTCTGATCCACACAAAGCTCGATCCCAAATAGGTTATTTATTCATTTGTGAAGGTACCGCAATTTATTGGTGTTCTCTTAAACAAACCTTAGTTGCTGCATCTTCAAACCATGCAGAGATTATAACAATTTTGAGGCAAGCCGTGAATGTATTTGGTTAAGAAATTTAACTCATCACATTCGTGAGAATTGTGGTCTATAACTTCTAACATGGACGTTCCAACTATACTATATGAAGATAATGCGGCTTGTATAGCCCAATTCAAGAAAACGTTTATCAAATGAGACAGAATCAAACATATATCACCAAAGGGTTTTTTTTTTTGCACTTATGATCTTCAAAGAGAACGTGTCATCAACATCTAGAAAATTCAGTTAGGTAACAACTTGGCAGATTTGTTCAATAAAGCGCTTCCTACATCCAAAATTCAAAGCATGGTACGAAACATTGGAATGCGACTCTTGAAGGAAATCAATTGATGTGATGATCATAGATAGTTGGAAACATATTGTATTATTTTCCTTAACTATGTTTTTACCACTGGTTTTCTTAGCAATGTTTTTAATGAGACAATTGTTTCCAATATATATTATTAATAACGTGTTCTTTTTCTTGATAAATGGTTTACCCATGAGGTTTTACTTATTAAGGTTGTAACGACGCATAATAAAAATGTCATTTAAAAGGGAGTGTTATAAAATATTAATTTGTGAATCACCATTGGATTCTCTATTTCTCCGAAAACTCTCCACCAAAATTTATAATTAGGAACAACCATTTCAACGTTTTCTTTTCCTTTATAACTCATGTTTCTTTTTCCTAACCGACTTTTCATTAAAGAGACAAAAAGAAAATATATTAACTATATTATAAAACATATTTAATTTTTTTTGAAATTTAAGAGATACATGCTTGATAACTTAATGTACAAATATATTATGCACAAACCACTCACGTTTAATGAACAAAAACTAATTATGGTAAATAACAATCAACGGAAATATTTAAGGAAGGAAACCTCAATTAATTTTTTTTTTCTTTTTTAACGTGAGCATGATGTTTGCCCAAAGGTTGGGGATTGAAATTTTCTAACATATCAAACAAAATTTATAGTCATTGAAATAGTCAAATAACATTTTCTGAATAAAACTATTCATCGAAACAATAATAATTTTTGTTGCTGCTTTGCGCGGGTATACACCTAATTAAGAATAGTATAAATATGTCTCGATTGGGCAACAATACCAATGAATACCATATAGAACGACATTTCAGTAATTCATATACAAACTGGTCCGTCAAAATGCACCCACAAATGATGATGGATTCACAGGGTCATTTTATTGTTTTAAATTGTTGTTATTTTCAAATAAATTAATAACGTTATTAGAATGACACGTTTAGATCATTAATTGTTTTATAATAGTTATATCTTTCAAATAAATTAATAAGGTTATTTTAATGACATGTGTTAGATCATTAATTTGACCGTAGATACAGTGTGTAAAAAAGAGAACCTAATGTACAAGTCAAAAATCTTAAATAATATACATATCAAACTAAGTGTATGCGAACCTAATGTACAAGTAAAAAATCTTAAATAATATACGTATCAAACTAAGTCTATGCTCATACATTGAATAAGAATATGGTGCTACAATAATACTAAGGGAATGTTAAGTAGGAATTTATTTTCATATAAATAAATAACCTATTTTATTTTTCATATATACATATGGACTCGAGATTTCTTTATGATATCAACAAACTGTTTCTTTGTAAAAAAAAAAATTCTTGTTATAGATAAGAACAAAAGCTATTAAGGTACATAGAAAAATATGACAAATAGTTGACATAATTTATAGAAGTATTCAATCAATATATATATATATATATATATATATATATATATATATATATATATATATATATATATATATATATATATATATATATATATATATATATATATATATATATATATATATATATATATATAACACATTAGTTGAAAATGTATCGTTCCTTTCTTTTCACTATAAATTTAACAAATGTTTTAATAATCAAGTATTTTATTTTATCATAAAACAAATGTTTAAACTTTATACTAGAAAACATTACTATATGTAGTATGAAGATAAGTTAACTTTGATTAATAATAATAGATTTTTATATTTTTTTCGGATCGAACTTTAGATAATACATTTGTTTTTATTAAGTTAAATAAAGTAACATATTTAAATTATCTAAAGGTATACAATTTTTTGTAGAACATTAATCTTAGCTAATGTTCACTTATTTTGGTTTCGGTTTCGGATTCTAAATTCCCTTATATTGAATTTTAAGTTTTCTATTTTATTTGATTTTATTTTTTTGTGTAAAATACTTATTTGTAATAATGGTTTTGCATTTTAATTTATTTTTACATCCAGCAGTCATATTCAAATTCCACTTTATAGACAACATCAAGTAAATTTACATTGGATTTTGTTTTTTATTATTTATTTAGAGGAGGTTGCTATTAATTTATGCTTCAATGTTAACATAACAAGTGTTCACATAACTAAAACCTCATAGGTCACAACCAACTAATTAAAACGAAAAAATATTATCCATAATAACTACTTTGTATCATACTACTACAAAAACAGCTTTTGTTCATTCTACCTCGGAAACCAACAGACACTCATATGATACTTTAAGTAGATGAATGTCTCCATCTGATATTTTAAGTAGATGAATATCTCCATCGTGTGATAATTTGAACCGTATTACCACACCTTCTAGTAATTATGTTTTTTTTTAACCGGCAATATATTAATAAAAAAAATAAAATAAAATTAACCCCCAGCAAGTGGCTAGTAGAGATGGTAGTTTACAATACATCAACAGAGTAAAGGGGAGAGAATCCATACTCTCCAATCTATACTATCTTTTTTTTCTCCTATATTTAACCCACACATATATCAACGATTTCACATCCCCCACTATCCTCTCTAAGTTCACTGTAATTTTTTATTTTTTTATTTTTTATTTTTAAAACTCTATAATTTCGGGCTTTCCATAAAACCATATGGCTCCAAATAAGATTGTCGTTAATCTTCTTCTCTTCTTAGGGCAATTGCCCCATCTCAATGCATAATCAATGATGTCCGATACCGAATGAAATTCCATCCCCAGTAATCCACACCAGTGAAAAATCAACCGCAATACGTTCCTGGCCAATGTGCATATTACAAGGATATGGTCTCCAGTTTCTTCAGTCGTATTACATACACTACAAATATCTGATTCCATTGCCACACCTCTATTTTTAAGCGCCGCTGCCGAGGGTATTCGACTTTGTTTTGCTCTCCAAATAAACCCCAACACTTTTAATGGGATCATTTTTAGCCACGGGAAGTTCACATCACAAACCGGGAAGTATGCTCTTTCGATTCTGCAACGTAGGGCAGCTACACAGAATTGCCTATCAGTGACGAATGAAGATACCCATATACCACCAACCTCCTCATACCGCATTACGTCTTGGAATGAAATATTTAATTTCTCTAACTTTTTTTATGCTTTCTACTATGTTATTCCATACACTGGTCCACGGATTTTTTGCTCCAAACCTATTATTCGCATCCAACAATTTATGGAGACCATTGATAATCTGAACCCAAAAGGAGTTAGGTTCGTTTTTTAACCGCCATAACCATTTTGTTAGTAACGCCGAATTTAGAGAGCTGATAGAGCCAATACCCAAACCACCAACTGCTTTTGGAGCAATAACCTTTTCCCAGGCGACCCATTTTATGCTATTCTTGCAAGTAGGACCTCCCCAAATGAAATGTCTACGGATTTTCTACAGTGAGCTTATGACTCCATTCGGGGCACCAAAAATGGATAAAAATAATGTGGGTAAGCTTCCTAGTACCATTTTGGCAAGAGTAATTCTTCCACCGAAACTGAGGGTTTTGGCTTTCCAAGCTGAAAGTTTTGACCTCAGTTTTTCAATTATACTGTTCCACAGGGCCTTTCGGTTTATATTTGATCCTACCGGGATGCCAAGGTAGGTGAAGGGTAGCACTGCAGGTTCACAACCAAGGGGGGGGTTGCCTAGTTAACAACATCCTGGGGTGGGACACCAATACCATAAACTTTGGATTTTGTGAAGTTGACTTTTAAATCGGATGCAACATAAAAGCATCTAAGAATTCTGGCGAGATTTGCAACATTTCTGTAGGACCAATCCCCCAAGAATAAAGCATCATCTGCGTACAGAAGGTGAGATAGACAAACATCTGTATTTGGGGAGGTCCTACATGCAAGAATAGCAAGTAGCTTAAATGTTATGTAGCTGAAGTGTATCGAAAGATTTTGATGGAACGTTCAACCACTTATTAATTGAGAGACGTGACTATAGAAATTGAGTTCGACACATTAATTACTATATATATAAAAAAAGTGACAAATATACTTGAGTAAAAATAAAGTGACAAAAAGTGTCCGGATGTCATAAATCATCACATGAAGTAAATGTTTATGTCGCTAACTGATAAATTGAAGTTTGTCTCACATGATTTCATTGTAGCAAAAAATCGACACATATGGTCTCATAACTATAAGTGTGATTGAAGTTGAACGTATGTTATAGCTTGCTTACCGTTTGTGTGTATAGTCACCTTTTATTTCGAAGTGATTGTATGGATTTCGAATAGCCACACCATATGATTCCTCTATCTCTTGCTCGCTTCGATCGGACTCTGGCAGCTTACGGAAGAATGATGCCCGTAACTTCGTACTTTAAATTGGAGAAAAAAGAGTTCCAGAGGCATCTTCCATTCATCTCTATTTTGGTTTTGCTGGTTCTCCCCGAAATGCGTTGAGGCGCAGCAGTTGACTTTCAACTAGGAATTCGTTAGCTCACCTCAGCCAAATCATCAGTTCCGATGAACAGTCACTCACTTTTGACAGTTATACGATTCCAGAAGATGATCTAGAATTGGGTCAATTACGTTTATTAGAAGTGGATCGCCTTTCCTTAACATAGATGGTGGATGGGCTTCACTTAACAAACAAGAGAATGGGTCATACAGGTGCCTACATTGTTAGTCTATTTGATTTACGGGAAGAGATATTTATTGAATAGAAAGAATGAAACCTGTACCAGCTTATCGCCAACCGTGCTTCCTACCAACTCTGCCTATCCCAGACGGTCGATCCTATTGATTTAGCCGCACCTGAACCCGCAACAGCTGCCTCTAGTCCGAAAACAACTTACTTTTCTGATGAATCTTAGCTTGCTTTTTGAATACAGTCAAAATGGGACATCCCTTGTTCTTGCATTCCTTCATCACGTCATTGGCTACCGGAAAAACATTCTCTTACTTACCCAGACGAATTGATTTCATATCTTTTCATCTTCTGTGAGGACTGTCCTCCTAGCCTTTTCATATCCTGCTTTGAAGCAACTACACTTCCTCGTTAGCCAGTCTGGCTCTCGACCTGCTTCAGTCTCTGGCTGCTGGGACTATTGCAATACTTCGTTCTGCTACCTTCCGATGTTGCTTACTACCAATCCGATAGCTAACCTTGCTTTTTGTCTACCTTATCAGTAACTGCTATATTCGGAGACTTTACCTGAAGAAAACGGAGACATAGAACTACTCGGATTCCATGCTTTCTCAAAGAAATGCCCTTATCTCGATCTTTCTTAGAGGCTAGAGTCTAAGGAAATGGAAAGCCAGGGGAATGCTACCAACTCCCTTTACTCCCACGTTGGAAAGCATATGAACTTGACTGAACTGAATTACCAGCCCCGGGCCAGGGTAAAAGAAGAAGGGATAAGATAAGACAGTAGCACCCACCACTCTGTCATAAATATGGATCGAATGATTTTTATTAGTGACATGGCAAAATATTCATGTAACTATTATTTAAAGGAAAAATGATGAAAAAATTTAAAAAAAATTAAGTTTGATGTTAGTCACACTAAGTGCTAACATATTTGTAATTTTAAATGTGTATCCATATTTGAATAACATTTAAGAAACATGACTTAATTTGTAATTATATGTTTGAGTTTCAATTTGATGCCAATCGACACTTCTTGATCTGCAAAATTCCCTCACCGACTTCCGCTAATTGAACCACCAAGAACGACAAAGTCCAAAGTACAAAAGCTCCTCCACAAATGGAAATATGTCCTTTTTATTGTCTGCCACCTGACCTTCTGATCGATATCTTAAATCATGTGGGGGTTTTTTCATATTGGGATTACTTTACTGTGAAGTGCAAGTTTGTTTTCCATTTTTGTTATTTAAATTGATGTATTATAAAATGTGTTTTAAATTTATTTTCTTGTACTTTTATATACGTACTTTTATATTCTTGTACTTCCATTTTTGTTACTTTTATATACGTAGTTTGTAATGTCTACGTTTCTCGCTAAACATTAATAAGATGATGTAATAGTTAGCATTAACAATTGTAACATATTTTATTTAATAAATAATATTATGTAAATATTATGTGTTTTCATGATTATTAATATATAATAAAATAGAAAAAATCAGCTGAATCGCCTGTAAATGGTAAAAATACGTGCGCGAAAACACACACACACATATATATATATATATTCGATCCTTAATATTGAAAAGCAACTAGGGTAACTTGCAAGGCAAATCAATGAGCAGTCACCGGGCGGACATCCGAGCAAAACCCGAGAGTGACTAATGTAAATGCAATAACAACAAAATTTGGGAAAATTTTTCACTCCGATGACACTAATCTAGAACGAACAATCAAAAATGGTGCAGGAAGTAGAGAAAGAAAATTGTGAATCACAAACAGACGAAAAAACTCGACATGTTCAGGAAAGGAACTTGACGAGTTTTACATCTGATGAGAAAAATAACCCTCCATTAAAATTGTACCAACTTCCCTTGCCATTCCATGGTCGATCCATACAAGATAAAGAATATGAAGACTATAAGAAGTTTCTAGAGCACATCAAGGCCCTCCATATTAACATTTCGTTTATTGAGGCAATACCTCAAATGCCAAAGTATAAAAGATTCCTAAAAGAACTTCTCGATAATAGAAAAAAGATGGAGGCAGTATTAGATGTTATTTTAAACAAAAATTGTTCAACTGCTATGATGAACAAACTACTGAAGAAGATGAGGGACCCGGGGAGCTTAACTTTCCCATGCCAATTCGGGAATTTGGCTGCATGTTACGCATTGGCCGACTCAGGAGCTAGTGTGAATATTATGTCATATTCATTCTTCAAAAAGTTGAACCTTCCAGAACCAAGACCCATTCATATGGCAACCCATCTAGCTAACAAGAGAGTGACATATCCAAGGGGAATATGCGAGGATCTTCTAGTCAAATTTGATAAATTAGTATTCCCTGTTGATTTTATAATCTTAGATATGGAAGAAGATCATCAAGTCCCGATTATTCTTGGGAGACCAGTTCTAAACACTGCCTGTGCTATCGTAGATGTGTGAGAGTCCAAACTTACTCTCCGAGTGGTGGATGATTCAGTTATATTTGGAGTCGATCAGGCGATAGAGCATTCAATGTTAAGTGATGCTGAGATTTTATCGGTAGATATGATTGATGAATTGTTAGAAAAGGAACTAGCATACTGGAAATAAAACAAATCAAAGGACTTCACGTTCTATTTAGAAGCGGACATTGATGCTCAAATAGACCTACAAGAATCGGAGAAACTAATTGAAGGAAGTGTAAGTGAAGAAGATACAAGAAGCTATGAAGAAGAAACACGTTGTTGTGATGCAAACAAGACAGGGAGTTTGAAGAAACAAAAGACTACCATGGTTTGGAATGACACAAACAATAAGGACACTAACTCTTCTTTTGGCTTGCACACAATTGAATAGGAAATGGAAGACATAGAGTCAACAAATGTGGATGAACACTGGAGAATTTGGGAGAAGCATCGAGAAAGGAAGGAAAAGTGAACCAAGCCTCATGCCTTAGTTTCTAACACTTTTGAAATTTTCACTTTTTAACCACCTGATTCTCAAATATATGAAGAATGGGAGGAAGAAACTTTAATTTCAAGTGACGATGAGGGGGTGAATAAAAAGGAGATCGAGATAGACAAGATAGAAGTGAAAATGGTAGGACAACAGAAAGAAGAAGAGAAGACAAAGCTTATCAAAAAAAGGTAAAGGAACAAAGCATAAATATGAAGAAAATTCCACTAAAAAGAAAAAGTAAGACTTGAAAAAAGGCATACAAAAGGAAAGTGCAGGGTTACAAAAGAAGATGGAAAGAGCAAAAGGTGAAGAGGAAAGCTCTGTTTGAAGCCGCTACAATGTAGAACGGGAAGGAGTCCAGCTAAAGATTCCTAAAAAAGAAGCGTTTGCGGGAGGCAACCCGTTGTTTGAGTTTGCTTTCTTTTCCTTTTTTCTTTCTTTTCATTTTTGCGTTTTAGTTCCTTTATTTATTAGTATTTTGTATGGATTTTCAATCTCAGTCTTCAAATATTTTAA